AAATAAGAGAAAAATAAATATGTAGACAGTGTTGGCAAAAAATGAGAGATGATACAATGATTTGATAATAGTTGAGAAGGTGACATTCTTTTGACTGTACGCTTAAAAAATTAAATAAGTGGTTCTGTCAATACTATCAAACGATTAGAAACGCTCGAATATGTTTATATTTATCAAACATCAATTAAACCTTCAAAGTGTAGATGGCCAAGTCTACTCGTAGACGACCGTCATGAATGAAACAGCCTGAAGGATGCATGTCGTTAAAGCGATAACAGGTGTTGTTGCCTGCTTTGATAATGGCGGTAAAATGCTCGTTGGTATTGTTAACACCAGCAGAAAGGCAATATCTATGCGTAAAATAGATTGAAAAGTGTGTCGAAAAAAAGGCGGACAACTTACATATATTCGTCGATATATAGAGGGTCTGGTAGTTCTGTCATTAGTGGTGTCTCATTCTCGGCGTTGACGATGACGAATGGTGCTATATAAGTCAATCGTGTTGTCGCAACTATGCGGGTCGCGTAGCAAATATAACGTGTCCTAAATTTCAAAGTTCATTTTTTTTTAAGGATAAAAATGGAATGATATCTTACTCTAATCGTGTCTCACTGGTTTCTTGATCCATGACCGAATATCGTTCGTCGACCGTGTAAGTTGTTGGATAATCCAACGGTTCAACGGAGCCAAGATTAACACCACTTAGACTTTTCAATTGGTGAAAGGGATTTTCACCTGGTGACAGCGCCCGACCTAACAACTGGTGACAGCGGTAACTATTGTGAAAGTTATATCATCACAATAGGCGAACTCCTCGTTTAGTAGATTATTCTATTTATTATTGGCAGTGTATTATAACTGAGATTTGTTGATTTATATTTACTTTCAAGTTTATGAACGTAATTGCAGATAGAACAAGGTCAAAAGCAAACAAATTAACATCAAACATGAGCAACAATGACTGTAATACACAGTCGAAACAAGAGACTACTGCAATTGAGGATGAACGTGGATATATTGATAAATCCACAACCACTTTATTTCGGACAACATCGATCTTAGATGAGGATAAAATACGATCAGATGATAAAGTTACGTTAACCTCAATTTTAAGTAAGCAACACATACCAAATGTATTAGAGAGAATTCAGGATTTTTATGGTACAAAACAAGAAGATGTGGTAGCATGGATCGACCAACTGGAAGTTGCACTAGATTTAACTGACCATGCACAAGGTAAATGGAGTAAATTAGCTGCATGGTATTTAAAGGGTGTAGCATTAAGTTGGTATATTAAGAATAAAAACCAAGTTTATGACTGGGATTCATTTAGACAAATGATAGTCGAGAAATACCCAACATGTGTTAATCATCATAATGATTTAATTAAACTGGAACAAGCAATTCCCTCTTCAACAACAATATTAAATGCAAAATCTGTCTCAACAATCGACTTATCAAATAATTTGCTTAAAACATCGATGGAACATAAGGTAAAACAGTTACCTATATTTAGTGGAAAAGACAATGAAAATGTTACCAAATGGTTAAATAACATCACACAAATAGGTAAGATGGTGAATTGTAGTGATGATGAGTTATATGTCGTGGCAAAATTTAAACTAGAAGGTGATGCTCAAAATTGGTATCAAAAGAAGCAAGATAAAATATGTGATTGGAAAACGTTTAACCAATTAATATCACACAGATTTCCGGCAATACCACCATCCAATGACCGAGAAATATTACGCCAATTAGCCGGGGGTAAACAAGCATGGAATGAACCAATTTCAAGATTTTATCGTGACATAATGAATTTATGTGATAAATACGATTCCAGTATGGCAGATTCATCACGAATTGCCTATTTACAAGATGGATTAAAACCGGAATTGCAAACATTATGCATTAAACCAACAAATAACAACACTAGAACAATTTTTTAATATTATGCAACAACATGAACATACTCAAGTCAGATTATCAGATGTTCAGCTCAATGACTTAGGAACAACCGCGACAATACAAGAAATATTGACTAGAAAAGGTGTCCAACAATCAAATACAACATCAGTCGATCGTTCACAACAACAACAGCAGTCAGTTCATACCTCATCATCAACAAACAGTCGTCCACAAAACTCAAATAGTAATAATCAGCCATATATTAATTTCAACACACGTCCACGATATCATGATCAACAACAAGTATGTTATACATGTGGCCAGCTGATCAAAACCTTGGTGGATACCGGAGCAACCAATTCAATTATTAATCAATCCACCTTATCAAAGCTTCATCATGCACCCATCACAAGAAAAAGTTATTATCAATTAGCCGGCAATTTTGATGCCACATGCATTACTAAAAATTACAAATTATACGACAAAATTAACGGTGATCAATCTAAATGACCATCCAAGACACATTCCACGGAATACCAGATTAGGTGTTATTACCTATGCTCCATCTAGTGTGCAATGTTTTGCATTAACTTCATCATCACCATCAAAACGACACTCATG